TTTATCTGTCATCAGTTTTCTGTAACTCCAACCGAAAAACATGTCACACCCACACATCATCGCCATCACCATCTTCATCCTCATCATCTGACCATCGTCATCATGATAACGATCGTCGTTCTTGTTGAGCGATGATAATGCTGTTCATTTTGGAGCCACCAGATGGAGGTAGTACCCTCTCCTGATTGCATTTCAAAATAAAAGCCTGCGGGTTTTTGAGCAGCAGAGATTGGACAGAGAGGAGTGAAGAAGGGGAGAGGTCTCACTCTGCCACCAAAAACAGCTCTTAGACCACATCACTGACTGTCTAGGCAGTTATTTTTGTTAAAGCCCCAGATTGCCAGTGGCTAAAAATATAAAGTAAGTTTATAAATTATTTTTTAAATCAACTTTCCAGATGTATAAAAAACCTCAGATACGATGCCGACTCGGAGGATTGTGTATTTATGTGTTTTTGTAAAGATAGAAAATGAAAACATGTTGCTCAGCTTTTAGAACCGACAGGAAGCCCAAACATACATTTATATCATCAAATACCATGTTTTGAATTAATAACATTTTATTTATTGTTTTAAATTAGCATTTGAATCAGTATTACACATACCTCATATAATAGTATTATTATTATTATTTGCAATGTTGAAGCTCAGCATTTATACTTTCTTTATTTTTTATTTTGCTGAATCACTGAGACTGAAATAATTAGAATGAGATTTTACAACATGTGTTTCCTTTGCCCCCGAAAACACCAAAAGAAGAGAGTTATTTACAGTCATAACGAGCTGCTGTGTGATGATTTATGTCATAGTTCATTAAGATAAGCCAAATCACAACCACTGAGGCGCTCATTTATTTTTCCATATACCTTTATTTATTTATTATCTCACTCTTTTTGCCTGTTCTTATTGTCCTTGTCTTCAGTGTTGTGCTGCTCTGTTGGTGGTTAATTGGGCCCTTGGGGATAAATAAAGTCTTCTGATTCTGATTCTGATGATCAGGACCAGGTAATTCTATTTCTAGATTGAAGGTTTTTATTTGCAATTTGCGCACAGGACCAACAGTCCATGCACACTGGAATTATTGTGCAGAGACCTCCAGGTCAAGTTACACTTTTTACAAGATACAGACAAAGCAAATAAAAAAAGGAAAATAGAAATAAAGGAAGGAATGTAGCAATCATAGTGAGGGTGGTAATAC